CTGTAGTGAAGTTGGGTGTTACATTCCTGCCTTTTTGCTCTTTAGAACTCTTGCCTTGAGCTCTGGTCACTAAGCAGAAAACCAAAGAAATGTGCTTGGAGTTCTAACTTAACTAGTGGAAACTCAACTGAATGATAATTAATAGTTACACACCAAATATCCATTTCTTCCCATAGATTGCAACTTGCTAATAATGAAGATTTCAGTCAGTTTAACCTGATCTCTTAGGTATGTCTAGACTTGGCCAAATCCGCGGAGTCCAGAAATACTTGAGCTAGTTCCAGTGCCAAAACCATTCTAGCTACAGGAGCAAGGAGCAATTTTTGTGCAAGGAGTGATTTTTGGGGTAGATTAACTCTTTCAGATCTTAGTGCAAGTCTCTTTCTAAATCCCAAAACATCTTAGGCAAGTCTACAACATCCTAGAGCGTGCCAGGAAGACATACCCATAACTTTCCTGTGCTTTGATGCTTCGGGATATTGGCTTTGTGACTCATCAGTGAGCTTTCACTCATCAGTTACAGGAAACATTTTGTGAACTGAGTGAAGACAAACTAGGATTTTTCTACCGCACTCAGTTTTATAGCTCGCTAACCATAATCTAACATACTAGGAGCCAGTAGTCCGGTCATTTCTGTTAGGCTTTTGTGCTGCTTTGTGTTCAGTAACTCACATTACCTTCAAAAAACTAGCTTTGAAAAACAAATACACAGTGTTTGCAGCAGTTGTCGCCAAAAAAAAGGTAGCTGACAGATATACAGTCCTTAAAACATATTCTCCAAACACCTCTGCACTTTCTGAACTTCCCTCCAGATTTTTGTTGCCTGGTATATTTATAATCCAGAAATGAAATTAAAAGTTTCAAAAAGAGAAGTAAATAAATCAGTGTCTTTTATTATAATTCCAGATCACAATCCATGCTCTTGCAGATGCAGGTGTTAGACAGGAAACATTTTGTCCCTCCTAGCCAAACACCTCCTCCCATAGCTAACAAACATCAACTTCATGTCATCTGCCTTCGTAACTGAAACGCACACCTTGCCTCCACAGAGAATACCAGCATACAGACGCCAAGGGCCCTTGCTGGTAAGAAGTTGCAGACTTTTTTATATTTTAGAAAGTACTAATTCTTCTGATGAAAAACTGATTGGTACCGGACATCCTAAACCTAGTACCCAACCACCAGGACATGCAAACTCACAAGACCCTTTTGAAACTCAGGAAGAGAAAAGCATGACTACAAAGAGAGACAAAAAGTGAAAGAAGATAAGAAAAACAATTATAAGTGTAATTTGTAAGAGACAAAGTCATCGTGGGACTCCCCAGTCTAAGGAAATTGTGAATTTAAAAGAGTGAACCTCTCAAAGCACATTCAACATTCACTTTTTTACTACTGCTAGGTTTCTTGGACGGTCATTTTACACCATCGTTCATCACTGGAAAATACAGTCTGATGTGCCAGCAAGAAAACATTGACCAAAATCCCATAAAATAAGGACTCATTTCAACACATGAGAACTTTTTTATGGTACTGTAAAAGGCTTGAGCAAATTTTAGTCAACTTCTGAACAGACTCATTATTTATCCAAAGGGGTGTGCCTTCTGCCTGAGCACTGGACCACACCATGAGGGGTTCTCCTTTCAGAGGAGGTCCTCACAGCACTCCTCCCACAGTCCTTTCAGTACGCCTTGCCTTCATCCCTTGGTTGCCTCGTCCTTCCTCTGTGAGATGCAGAGTCACAGGGCTACAAAGTAAGTTTTGCTCTGTTTCACACGCTTCTTGGCTGAAAAGCAGCTAGTAAGGGGTTAAGCTGAAAGCACCAAGCTGCTGCTTCCCCCAGCTGAAGGATTGATTTGATCATTCTTCAGGGATTCCCTCCTGTATGAGTCACTGCTCAGACAGACTCCCCACGAAAGGAGGCCAGGATAATGCCATTCCTCCAGAGACTACAACAGCTGAGGGCTAGCCCTGAAGACGGAGAGCTTGGGACTCATGCTTGGAAAAACATTCAGCGGACCACAATGCACTCAGCAGACTTAAAGAAATTATTCAGACAGAAGAGGGAGGGGAAAAAAAAAAGGGCAAACAAAAAGTGCTCTCAAACTCTTTGCCTTAACGAATTAAGTATGCAGACTAGCATGAATTAGACAAGCTCCCAGAGACTGCCTCCCAGCTTGGGGACTCTGCCCCAGTGAGGACTGAAGACATGAGCTCATGTAGTATAATATTTAAATTTTATATAAAATATACGTTCTCTTTATAAGCGCAATGATTCCTGTGATCTATTACTTTGTAACAGCTGTGTTTGGCTGGTACCCACTAGGAACGTGATCAACATTTCAAATTCAAAAACAAAAGCAGTAAGAGTAGCAAAATTAATGAACGTCTCCAGCTAATCACAAAAGTTCATAACCAGCTTTCTAAGAGAAAGAGAAACTATGCTGGTGTTCCCTCTCTTGACCTACTTTCATAGATGTGCAAGAGCTGAAAGGGAAAGAAACATTGTGTGCTGATTTACAAGAGTGAAGGCTGGTAATGTTTGTTCATTTGACACTAAATACAGTGACTCTGCTCAAAAATTGAGCTGGAGCACTACAACAACGACGCATCACACTTGCTTGTTTCCAATGCATCGAGCTGTCTTAGGCAGCGTAGCACACAATTCATCACAGAAGCCCTAGAAATTGCTGAGCCCAGCTCAGCCGGCAACTTTGCTTTTTGTGTGCCATTCCTAGTGACATGATTGCAGTTCCTGGAGATGCTGAACAGTCTCGACTTTAAAGGCTCAGCCCCCGCAGCGTACCTCCACGAGGCAGGACTGCCCAGTAACCGCAACAAATTTACCATCAGACTACTAAAACCAGGCAGTATGGTTTCAGATCAGATCTTTCAATACTGACTTAACGATCTCGATTACTTTTCAATGATAGCAGCTCACTGACTGATTCCTGCAGCGTTGCCCATGCCGGGGGAAGAGTGCACGGGGATCTCCGGTGGTGCTTTCATGTAGAAGAGACACTCCTGCACTGGTCCATCCTGTCAACCCATGCACCCAAATAGTTTACCCCAGGAGTTTTTCAGGGTGACAGGCAAGGCCTTTTCATAATTTTCTTCCTCATCAGTACACCCCGTGTGCAGCAGTAGACTCACAATGTTTAAAAAAATGTTGCTTATATAAATTATTTTCTATCTATATGCTGTCTCTGTGCAGCCTCAAATTCCTTTTGCTCAGGGGAGGTATCTGTCTGGTTAAGAAGTAGAAGGCTGGCCTCATTTTGCATTTTTTAAATTTAAGGCTATACAGTGAGCATCCTGCTTTTGGTGTACTTAATGCTAAAGGAGACAGTGTCCAAATCCATGCTGTGGTACCTGCTGGTGGGAAACCAGCATCATCATCATAACCCTTTGGGATGGGATGCTTCAAAATTTGTCCAACTCAATAAAGGAAGAGGAGAGAAAATAAGTATGAAGGAAAGCACCCTTTAACGTGGTTTCCTTCCTGTAATGAGGCAGATCGAGGACTTTGCTCCTGGCATGTCACACTAACCCACTTCTGTGCAGCAAAGGAAGTTTAAATATAAAGTAGACAGCCACCTCCTTGCCTCCCCTCACGCTACGCAAAGAGCAGAATTCAGGGGTTTTTTAATTGCGGTACCACCTTTTTTTCCTTTTTTTAAAAAAACTTTCTTAAGAAACAAAAAAGGTGTTTTGCTTATTTCACGGCCAAAGCCTGACCGCGTGCGGTGTGGTGCTTGGGGGTCACAGGAACGGCGGTGACTGGCTCTTGCTGAGGTGCTGGGGTGTTACTTCCACACCCCACACCCCCCACTTTTGGTGACTTAAACCTCACCAACCCAGGACTCCAGTGGGGAACTTCAGGGAAGTGTTCTGCTCTTCCCCTGAGCCTGAAGACACGGATGTCTTCGCTTCCAGAGCCTCCCCTGCTCACCCCGCCACCCCTTCCTGCGGCCCAGCTTCCTGTGCCACTGGCAGAGGCCACGGGCAGGAGAACGGCACGGGAACGTCGTGGTCATGGAGGGTTAAATGGGCGCAGTGCCAAAGCTGGTGCTGGCGGCCTGAGGAGTGCCCAAGACTGTTTAAAGTTCAGGAGGGGGTTCAGCCGGCAGCTGAGGAATCCATGGCTTGTGCCAGCACCACGGAAACCCTTTCCAAAACAAGACTCAAAACTACCCTTAACGATCTTGATCTCGTTTCAGAGCCTGACTTTGACTCACAGCTCGGCTCCCACTGCCTTCTCCCGTGGGGGCATTCGCCCGTGTGATGCTCTCACCCTGTGACTCACGGCTCCTGCAGACACCCCACCGCTTCTGCAAACACCTTCTGCTCCAGCCCCAGCTCCCACCTCACGCCACCTGCTTCAGCCCAACCCAGGACCCTTCCCCAGGAGGACCAGTCCCACCACCAAGGCACTGCAGGAGCAGCACTGGGTGAGGGAACAGTTGTGTCCAGTCGTCCCCCAGTCCTCAAAGTAAACCAGAAACATGTTCTTCAAATGATTGTGTGTGTGCTGCAAGTCCTCCTCAGCCAGCAGTTTGTAAATGCCACCAGTCTCAATTGCCACAGAAGCAGACACAGGTATGCACACATACCACCAGCAGCACTTCTCTTCTCTCTTCCACAATTTACAGAAAAAGTTTAACAAGATGCACCATCTTGCAGGTTTTATGGGGACATGCCACCAGAGGTTTCAAACACCTTTCACAGGTCCTGCCCGGTACAGCCATGGTTTGCCACAAAAACAAATACCAAATGTTGACTTTCAATGTCGTTATTGTCTACCTGTAACTACACCTGCCATAGTTCGAAACCTCAGCATTAGACACAGCTCAGATCACTTTCACAGCTTTGCCCAGTGACATGGAAAACATATTATGTGCAGAAGAAAATGTCATTACTGTATTTATGCTTTCATCATTTGGCAGAGATTTTAAAACAGGGACAAAAAAAGGCAGACCGGAGTCTAGATTGAAAAGACATACCTGGTGCTTTCTCCACAAAGATGACTTTGGAGTCTTGCAGAAAGTTATGGCCAGTCAGTATCATTTTTTTCCCTCCAGTAACAGGAAAGCTGTCAGTACTTTGCTTCTCCACCAGAGGCAGTTCTTGGGCAGATCTCTGAGCTGGAGAGTTATAAAGAAGATAAAAAAAAAAAAAAAGCAAAGAAAAAAAAAGCAACCACAAACACACAGAAAAAAAAGTAAATACTGTTAAAAACTTAATGCTTACCCTCACAAGATAAGTTGAGGTTGATATAGAAACAAAGAAAGGTCAGAAGGTTTGCAGGAAACATGGTTGGTTTTCAAGCGCCTTGATTGTAAACAATAGGGTTATCAAACACAGCAGCATAGATTCAAAAGGCTCAGAACAAGCTGTTTTAAAACTCAGCTTGATCTGTACTACATCAAAAAGTATATTTTTATTGAAATTCATTTATTTTAAATAATCTTCTCTTATGTTATCTATAACATACACGCCATGTGTTTACAAGGCACACATGACAAGATGATCATTCATGTCCAAAATGTGTTACAGTCACTATACACTGTATCGCCAATTCTGCAAACTCTCTCTCTTGCAGCAGCAGCAGCCATTGGCCTCACAAACCAGCAGAAGCTCATGGTTTAGAGAGTGTATTTCCACAAGAACCTGAGTGCCAAAGCACACGTGGATCCATGCAAACAGAATCTGGTATTCTCGTGGCACATATTTTATCCCCCCCCAAGTGGGACATGGAGTGAGCGTGGCTGTGCTTCAAGGGATGATGTGACATTTTATCCAGATTACATGGTTCCTCCTGGTGTCACATGCACTAAGAGATGCATGAAGTTTTTGGCACGAGCTTATTCCACATTCTGCACTGGAAATAACACTAGTCCTTATTTTTTTCTCCTGTTTTCTGCTCCTTTCAGGAGGCACGTACCACGCTTTTGCTCGTTACACAACCCTCAAAACTGCAGTTGACTGATACAAATCCAATCGGCTTCATATTTAGTGGCTTCCTGAACTTGGCACCTTTGCACGGACCAGTTCAAGATGTATTCAAATTGTGCCTTATCCTGCTATATAGCAACTGAAAAGCTCTCATCTTTTTTGAGCAGGATGAAACCATCTTTTGCTTTGCCTGTTAGCCTAGAACTTGTCCTTAAAGAACAAACAAAGGGGAAACTATTCATCTCACACATATCCTGGACAGGGCTTTATGCCACTCTACATGGTATTGCTAAGAAGGCTCTGCTATTCTTTATAAATAACATAGGCTTATCTTAATGTAACTCCCTTCTCACTGCCAGTGCTCATTTGTTTATTTAAATGAACGACAGTGAAGGAGAGAAGCTATCACTGTTGGTCCAAACCATTACCCTTTCCTACAACTGCTGCCTCTCTTGCAGACTTGGACTACCAGAGCAGCAGCAATGCTACCCTAGGCGAAAGGATGGACAACTGTCACTGGTCTGAAAGTCTGTCACCAATGCCACTGCTTTTGCAAGAGGAATGCAGGGATGCTCTTTCTTGCAGTCTCTCTATTAACCATCCCTGAAAGAGCACCATGCCTCCAAGAGACGAAATGCTGACACGCTCCAGGACCTGCCAGACACGGCTGGTGGGACTCCAGCCTGGCAATGACGCAGGGACAAGCGTGGACACAACCCTCCAGCACGCATGGAGCTAGGGATGGTCAAGCCTTCATCCCCATCCCCTCTGCTCCCCACCCTCAGAGGTCACCCTCCCCCATACCTGCCACATGTTAAGTTACTCCCTACCCTGTCAGCATCAGAAAGATCCATTTTGTGGAATCCAACAAAACCTTAAAAACCTGTTTCAGTCCATCCGGCTGAACAAATTAGCATTGGGAGTTAGACTGAAATTCAATTTCCACCACTTATGCTGGAGCATTAAAGCTACACAAAGTGAATAGGTTTTGTTTTATGTGTGGGAGGCTGACGAGGCTTACAGAACAAGAATGATATAGGTGTCTTTGGAGGATGCCCCAGTGTATCTGATAAAATGCAGTCTGTTCAATCAAAGAGACCCCAGTGCGGAAACCTGGTTTCTGGAGGTTTTCTGAAGCCGCAGGCAGCTTGTGCCAGTGTGTCAGCTCTAGTATACTGCTAGCTCCTCATCAAAGGGGTTGGGGTTTGTTTGCTGGTTTTTGCTTTATGATGGGGAGAGAGAGAGTGAATAGGACATGATAGTTGCTCTCCAAAAGTCCTACAGCAGTTACCTGTACGATAGGGAGTCACCAAAAGAATAAGCCTTGTCACTCCTAAGTCTACTTTAATTTAAGTGCACTCTACTTTTGTTTTAAGTGTGTTCTCTCCTATAGAAATCAACCCACAAAGCCAGTCATTTTTTTCTAAGACACGGGTATTTTGTCTTCAGTATAAACCACGTGCTTTTGGAAAGCAGACTAAGGTTCACCAACTAGACAGGTAAAGCAAAACCAATGTATAGCATGTCAGTGGAGAAAGACTGCGTGTGGGGTGGCAAAATACCCAGCAAGAGAAGGATGTTTGCTGCTACTCACAGCACTCAATGGGGTTGGAGGCTACTTGCAAGGAGAGGGTCCTGCCATTGGCCTGTGGGATATGAACCCTGAAGACGAGCCGCACGCGTGTGTTCTTCCGACCGATGTCTGTCTCTCCTTTGCGCAGCTCGATATCAGAGTTTCGGAGCTTTAATATCCCAGCACAATCAATGCTATCCAAAAAGAAACAGAGATCAATTACATTCATTTCAAGCAGACTTCAGGAAGATAATGAGTGTGCAATATCTTCCCTCTCTCCTGCACACCCTTCTTAAAAATCTGAGTCAGGCACAACCCAATGACCAGGCTGAACACAGCAGACTTTGTTAAGCCTAGCACTTGCATCCACAAGTAGCTAAGTTGGGCTATCTGTAGTAACAGGTAGTAGTTGCTGTTGGGCACACAAATTTAGGATGTTGCTTCAGTTTCCAGAGGAAGAAAATCTAAAAGATCCTTCCTCCCCAGCACATCCTGTAAGGATAGCGCTTACAGACTAACTAAAGCCTAAAGAAACAGCGAGACTAGAACGTCAATGGAATGAGACGATAGTGCACAAAGTGTTACTAACCCAGAACGCAGGGTTACTTATGATTTCACTTTTTACACCTAATTTGGAGAAAAACCTGGCATGATTTTTATTCTAGGGCAAAGTCCTGAAAATGATTATTAATGAGCACAGCTCTCCCTGAGGTCAGTTCTACTGTCAATGTGTTTGTATTTGAATGAGTTGGAAATACTCCCAAGCTCAGTGTAGAGCTGAAGCTCTGCATGAAAAAAACTAAACTCAGAGTTCTCCCTCCACATTAGGGAAAAAACATGCTTTTCATCAGATATTACTATTTCTGACCTCTCTCTCCTTTTTTTTAAACTTTGGTTTTCTCCTGGATGAGTTTACAAGTCAGGATTTTTGTCAAAGCAAATTTCAACAGAGGAAGTTCCCCGAACAAAAGATATATAAACATACATACTCAAAAACCCACTGCAAAAATACCTCTGCTTTGGCCACGACTACAAAGGCTACATGGCAATTTCTTCTGGGTACTGGTCTCTGGCATGCATTTTATTACACTGAATATGCATAGTTTAATTTTATTTTGCACTCAAAGAGTTTAATTCCCCCTCCAGGCCTTTGAAGCTCTGTTCTGAAACAAACTGCAAACAAGAACTATGGCAGCACGGTTTTGATCTGCATTTTTTCTAAAGTATGGATTTCAGAACAACAAAAAGGCCCTTGCTGATACGATCAAAGAAACTAATGAAAGTATTAAAGCTTCTCAACAACACATATTAGCAGGTGAAGCCATAAGAATTATGAAATATTTGTACCTATGTCAAAATTCTATGCAAAGATCTGTAAGATATGGAAGAAACAATGCGCTTCTCAATACTGTCTCTCCTATAGCAACACTTGTAAAATAAATAAAAAGTACTCAATGACAATTAGTTCAGAGCCAATAAAGTTCAGAGGAGAAAAAGTATTTAAATTCAGGCTTGTAAAGTCATGGACATCAAAATCTGAAGTCAACAGGAGTAGCTAAATGTGCAAAAGTTTAAATGTGCAGATGAGCTTCAGTGTTTCACTGAATCAAGGCCTGAATACACAAAGTATGTGTGAGAAAAGTCCTTGGCTCCAAATTTCAATTCATTGTTAGTGCTAGACGAGGTTTTAGACTACTGACATATAAGGCTTACATATGCCAAAGCGTTGTTTGTGGTTCTTGAGACCGCTCTACTACGATCTGGCACGCATGTCACAAAAACACTCAGTTTGGCTCCCAAACTGTGTAACTATCTTTTTTCTAGGGAGAAAGATGATTGAAACGGTAATAATGTTCCTAGATGGCTAAAAATGGGATTCAAACTGGATAAATAAAGGGCCAAATAAATATTGCATGGGTAGAAACTGGTGAAATTTCAATAACCTCAATGGAGTCGTGCCAGCTTACGGTGACAGCAAATGAGGCCAACAATTCTGCACGCTTGTCATGACTTTTAACACAATGCACTGACAGACGTCCTCAGGTCTTGAGTGATCACCCTAAGCCCAGCTGGCAATGCAGCTAAACACATTCTAGCTCTTCTATTTACATGAGGCACTCCGGGGCATGTTGTACATGACACTGCAAACCAGCTTCTAATAACCACCACATGCAGAAGGACTTCAGGTGTCTGATACCATTTTTCACTTCATTAAGGCGTGGAAAACTGTATGAATAACAAGGAGTGAAACTGTCATTTTAGCAAGCTCCCTGGGATTCTCCCGTGGTATTTGGTTTGGTGGGGCCAGGATTTCTTGCTTGCTTTCTCTCTGTCTACCTACTTCTCTTTCTATCTCTCTACACATACACACAGAGATGCATGCATTTATATATAAATATGAGTACATTCACATTTATACACACACTGAGAGTCGTACATGCACGCAAGCACACACAAATTCCTCCCAAGGCAGGCACCTCAGATAAGGGTTAGGATCATTTCAACGAGGGGGGAGACAACTCAGATAAGAGGCTAGGATCATTTGAACAAGGTGGGCAGAGAGGATGGGACTGAGTAATGTGGAGGCTCTCATGTACGTCACATACACAGAGGGATATTTGAACCTTTATATACAATCCTATAATGAAATTTACCTGTGTGCAATGGACTTACAGAACACTTAATTATCACTCAGACTCCTACTAATTCAGAGAGCCTAAGATATCTGTGCCTGCTTTTCTGCACAGGACTAAACCTACCCCAGCTTAATAACTGCAATCTGAAAGTTGTATCACTTTTACTCCTCTTCTTAGTTCTAGAAGCTTTGCTTCTAAACAAACGTCATGAAAAATGTTGATTTTTATTATGTAAGAAGTAAAAGTGGTTTTACGTGTCTCAAAAAACTGCTAGGGTACTTGGAAATGCTCTCTAAGAGTTTGCTTTGACATCCAAAGATAAATTTTAATAGGCCCTGTTCCTTGTGCTAGTGCGTATAGGAGCAAGAGGTGTCATATTTAGAAACTAAATGCAGGAGCTGAGGTAGGAGATATTTACAGCTCGGTAACTGAGATACTTATTTTAAATGGCAAATAAGCACATTGGCTGAAACTCTAGAATGAAAGCAATCAGTTGTCATAAATATTTGTGAAGTTCATTTTGTTGTTAAGCTGATTAGGGGCAATTTGTCCTGGCAAAGTTGTGAAAACCTACTATTACAGAGAGAGCTTTAAAAAAAAAAAAAGAGAGAGAGAGGAGAAGGAAAATTGTGTAAAAAAAAAAACAACCAACACAGCAGAAATCAAGTGAGGCAACCAAGAGGAAACTGCTAGGAGTCAGATACGGTGCCTGGCTCTTACATCGCTCTCATGTTGTTCTCTGGAAGAAGTGGAATTTCCAGGACTTTGGTGTTGGAAAGTATTGTTTCGTGGCTGGTGGTGGAAACGGTCTTCCCGGTGATTCGATGAACCTGGTAGAAAGCATGGGGTCGCAGCAGGCGGTCGTCTGCAGTCCCAATGAACAGCTGTAGCGTGAGCGGCTCGCTTTCTAAGTAACCATGTAGCTGGCAAGAGAACAGAAAACGCCCACTGAGCACCATGTACATAAACTGCTAGGAATCAATTAAATTTTTATAAGCAGGAGAGCCTAATTCAAGGAGAGAATTTGTGACAGGTGCTATGTGTTAAGTTCCCCCCTTCCATTTTTCCTGTAATGTAATACTGGCACAATAAAAAGGTGCACTCAGAAAATGTCTCATTATCCTAAAGGACCTGAGGCACTTCAGATGGGGTGAGCTTTTGAGCGCTCCTGCTACATCCACAGAAAACTTTGCATAAATTCTGCCATGGCATTCAGCAAAAAAACCACAATGAAGTCAATGTTCCCTCCCGATACTGAGAGTGGCAAAACCGACGGAGTTTGCAAGCGAAAAGGACACAGCTCATCCATCCCCGAGCTCCCTGGGTCGTCCCTCATGCAGCAGCAGGCTGCTGCTCGTGACATGTCCCCTCATTAACTGATTTTTATGCTGGTAAATACCTCCTGGGACAGCGGGGAGACAGATCACATATACACAACTAGTAGCTCACCATGTGTGTCAAATTCTTGTTATAATCGCACAAAAATCTCATTGAAGCTACTGGGCCTGACTTGAACCTCATCCATGTTACAGTGACCGCTCTGATGACAACAAGAGTTATTTCTGCCACGGGCTGGGAATGGAGCAAGAGCAGAGTCTGACCTCATCCCCACCATCTCCTGAAGAAGCTACTCCGAGTTCACGCTGGTGCGAAGGAGATCACGGGTGGAGTTGTCTGGGGACGGCTCCAACCTCCACTTAACGCTGCCGCCTGACGTTGGGAAATGAGTCTCACAAAAATAGTTATCTTGCAGGAGTTAGCTGCGAAGCTTCATCCCAAGGGAAGGGAGGATGCAGCAACTATAGAAGAGAGAAGCGCGGGCATGGTGGGCTGTCCCAGGAGATTTGCTACCCCAGAGCAAACCTGCTCACTTTGGTATCAGTTTAGTTTCCTCTGTGAATGGTTCAGGTGGGTTTGGCCACGAGCTATCCACCATCACTAAATCTGACAGATCAAAACTAGACCACATTTTTAATTTATGGTGCATGCAAGTTCAAAGCTAAATAAAGCTGAAAGCAAGTGGTGAAACTCATATCAAATGTTGTTGATATTTGTGTTTTGCTTCCTTTCACTCTCCTTAAATCTTAAAAAGTAATTCATGGCTTCATAATAACATAAGACCTATCTCTCCGGGATATTTTACCATCTGACAGCAGGACTGCTATTAAGAACAAAGCTCTTGAGTCACTTTTGCTCCTCGAGGACCGCAAAATTCTGGTGAGTGCAAACACAGGCACGAAGCCTTCCCACTGCTATCAAATGCTGATGGCAACAGGAATGCACAATGGCAATGTTTCAGGTACCATGATGATCAACGCAGGAGCAAGGGCACGTTGTGCCCAGACACATCTTCCATCACTAACCGGGCATACTGCAGATCTTTCACCCCACACTTGGGTCAGAAAAGCCAAGACGAAAACAGAAGCGCTTTAATTATTTGTCTGATTTGGTGTAGCAAGTTTTACATCCTTACCTAAAGCACATGGATACTGGGAGGATGCAGGGACAGGAGGAGGAGGTTAATTTCCAGCACTATAGTATTTTATCAGCTCTGCATTGCTGAGACACCACACAAAGGCAGCTCGGAGCCAGGGGGTTATGAAGCGATATTGGGGGGGTTCCATACCAGAATTGTCAAATTGAAAATACATTAGCAGCAGTTTGAAATTCTGCGGTATCATCAAAATGACAGAGAGAGAAAAGCTGAGCCAAGCCTGCATGTTGCTTTTATTTTTCTTCACAGACTCAATGAGGTTGGAAGAGACC